TACCGAACCTTTCCCTGGGCCCAGCGCCGGAGGCCAACGCGACCCCCGCCAAGGGCGCTATTTTTATAGGGGAAGGCAGCAGGACGAACCGCCTCGCCACTTTCGCCACACGATGTACTCCAGACGGACCAATATTATGGAACGTTTGGACGGGATGGTCATGCTAATGGCCGTCGAGGTAACGACCCTATTCGTCGAAGCTCCGTTCTCGCGAAATTCGCCGCCGTACGCGGAGGAGCCCCTGTCTCCCCGCTGGCATCCTCCTCGACAATGTCGCCTGAAAGGACAGGCCCGACAACAACTGACGAGTTGGACGCTCAAGCGGACAAGGAGGACCTCCTACCCCTCGAGACGGACGAGCACACGCCATCAACGCGAGAATGCATGCTACCAGCAGCCGGCACAGAAGCCGACCAGCTCCGCCACGAATCGGACACTGTCGAAAAAGGGGGCCAATCGGCGCCGGAGCCCACGACGACTCACGAACCCGTGACAGAGGACGAAGACGAGGAGCCGTTATTCCGCCGCCGCCTAGCCACCCACCGGTTTAAGGTAGACCCGAATAGCCGCTTCCCTCGGATTACCCTACGCTACCTACCGAAGATCCGCGAGGTGGGTAGTGCATCTCGTTCTGGCCTCTCAAAGCGTGGGAAAGGGAACACAGGGGAAGGTCCTGGCGGAAAACGTCGGCGAAACCGCGACCGTCGTCAAACAGCCACCCGAGGTAAGCGTCGCCGAAGCGGTAGTCAACAGCAACCCAGTGTCGAGAGAACGGTGGTATCGGCCCCCAAAAAGTGTCGCCCGGAGCCCGAGGCGCCCCAAGAACCGCAACTACGCGTGCCGCGTTCGCCCCGCGAGCGCCAAGAGGGTCCTTCTTGGCATTGGAAGGATAACCGTAGTTGCGGAGCCGCAGTCACTCCCCCAGGTGGATGCTCCGATCCTTAGGTGGCACCAAAAACGGTCTTCCAAATGGTCGCAGAAGAACAACAGGCCAGAGTTGAGGACGCAATGCCCCCCCTCGTGCCCATAATACGCGCACAGGCACCCGGCACCGCTTCCCGAGAGGAAATGGAGAAAGCATGGTTCGGTCCGGAAGACGGGATGCCGCCGTTGGTGCCCATCACACGCATGGAGACGCCTGTTGCAGCCCACCGGACCGATACGGAAGAGGCGTGGGTCTAGGAGACGGAAACGGTACCCGCAGAGGTCCCTGAGACCCCCTCCGATAGTGAGCTGTGGGGGGACGTCGCAGAATTGTTCGATGGAATCGACAGTTGGGACACGAGCCTGGAGTCGGTGCTCAACGAGGAGGTGGACCTAAGTTCAATGACAGTCCCGCTGGCTGCCAGTCCCAAGGACACGCCAAGGGGTCATACGCCAACAGTGACCGCCAGAAGTCCCGTTTCCGATTTCGCCCCCTTGGATTGGAGGGTATTTCCCCGGGAGATGACTCTGTCGGCGGCTCTAGTGCATCTCATCGAGGGATTCGTTTCCGGGTGACGGAAGAAGACAGAGAATACAACGTCACGGTGAAGCAAAAGGCGACGTAACCGTCACCTCCTCGAAGTAAGGGGGTGGTGTGAGGCGGCTACCTAGAGTAGCCACCCCACAATCCTGTTTCGCGGCAAGGAGCCGTTAGATATAGAATTTTATTTTTTTGTTAGTTTAAGGTATCATAAGTATTAGTAGTAAGAAAGGCAAGGAGCCGTGAGATCTTTATCATAATCATTTTGCTAGCATCAAAAGTATTAATAGTAAAGAAGGCAAGGAGCCGTTTCTAATATCAGTATTGTCAAACATTTATTGGAAAAAGAGAAGAATAGAATAAATTTGAATTTGAATTTAACCGCCGGCCGCCGCAGCAACCGTGCGCTGCCGATCGGTTACTCAACACCGTCTCGACAGCGCAGCTTCAATTCGGCGGCGAAGAGCGAAAGCTCCGAGCCGAAGTTGCGAAAGCTCGCGGCGAAGTTGAGCGGCCGAAGCAAGCGTATGGCTCGCTTGCGAGCGTGCCGGCACTTTTTCGGCGACCATCAGAGTAAGTAGACGTGTGTAGGAGTGGCAGAAGCAGAACATAACCCTGAAACGGGTAGCGGAGTGCTAGGGCTCCAGGCAGTGCGGCAAGGCTTTTTGTGTAGGGAAACAGAGTTGGGTAGTGCTGAACAGTTATAAGGAAAGTGACGTGAATAAAGTAATACTCATAAACCTATAATCCTTGGCATCTTTTATTTACATTTTATAGCTATCGTCTACCCCCACCACCACTTAATAGATTTAATTCAAATAAATTCCCATAAAGTTAAGCCAAAATTTTATTGCTGAAAATTTCATCAAGATCAAACACAGAAGAAAACGTCTGCTTATATTCACAAGTGTTTGCAGCAGCTAGTGCAAATGGCAAGAATTTCTGTATACATGTACACACACACATTCATGCACGTCTTCTTTGAATTCTATTGACAGCATTGCAATTGCGCTTGAATTGTATTGTTTACTGTGTTCTGCAATTTTAATTCATTTTTGTCTCTAGCTCTTATAGATTCTGAAATCGATGCGTTATAAATACGAACTGACAGCCGAACAGACAGATGGACATGGTATAATCGACTCGGCTATTGAGGCTGATCAAGGCTGATATATACATTATGTTATGCTTCCTTCTAGCTGTTACATACATTTTCACAAAACCATTTTCAATGGGTACAGGGTATAAAAACAGGAGAGAATGGATATCTTCGGCACGCCGATTTAATACTATGGTAGACATAGTTTACAGATACATATGTCGAAACAGTGAAACTCCTAAATGCCAAGTTTAATGGAAATATCTTATAAACCAGAATATTTTGTGATACCAAAACTCAATTTTTCACCGCAAATAAGCAGCTTACTTTAAATAATAATGCCACGGTTGCTAAAAATATCTTAATAAACAAAAAGGTGTTCCTATAGTGGGAGCGAAAAAAAAATAGCGGTGCCGTTTTAACACGCAACGCATATAGCTCTCTAACTCTCCTGCTCTCTAAGCAAGTAAGCGAGTTTTGGATCCGAACCAAAACGACCTGATCCACAAAAAATGAATGGTTACCAATTTTTCTTCCAACTGTCCCATCTATATGTTGCATGGTTCGTGGTAAATCTGGTAAGCAATCGCACAAATGTGCCACAATTTGGGTCAACTGTTTCTATGAATGGATTGTCCGAACTATCGAAGCAGATTGGTACACAGGGAACGCTTTCTTGACATGTGTCGATGAGATGAAAACATGCAATCCAAGGACAAGAACTAAAACGCAAAGAGCAAGAAGCATAGAAATTAATAAAGGGTATTTTTAATTTATAGCCCTTTTTGGCTTGTTGATTGTTAAAGGAACTTATTTTAGTCCTTTTGTTTTTGGAATGAGATTTTAGTATTCACCGCAACGGATAAACACACGAATACATTATTCGGCTAACCAAAGAAAAAGATGTATATACTAACAAATAACAAATATCTCGCAGTACGATTGTGAATATTTAGATTGATTAAAATTTTTTATCGCGCATGATAATATTCATCTTAATGTGTTCCGTTCAGATTTGAAATCATTTAACCCTGAACCCATTGTAAATGGGTAAAAGGGTACAATATAAATCAATATCAATATCATGTTTTTTGAGCAAAATTGGTAAATAATAAGAACTAGAGTCACCAAACTTTACATGCAGCTTCTAGAATAGTATATATATACCAAGTATCATTCATTTTATAGCTATCGCCACCTCCCCGCTACCACCACAAAGCTATAAATCATGTTAAGAAACCAACTTTTATTGCCCACCAATTGACTCCACAATTTTAATGCAATTGACTTTTTGAGAATACACAAATATTCTATAGCAAAATAAGATGTGCTGTAGAAAATTTCATTAAGATCGGTTAAGAAACACAAAACTAATTAAAGAAAATGTGTTTTGGCTGGCCTCGTGCTTGCAGCAGCTAGCGCAAATTGCAAGAATTTCTGTATACATGTACACACACACATTCATGTGCGTCTTCTTTGAATTCTATCAACAGCATTGCAATTGCGATTTTATTGTTTTCTGTGCTGCTATTTTAATTAGTTTTTCTCATTAAAACTCAATTACTGGTGTGTAGTCATAACCAGTTACCATTGAACTCAGCTTAATGCTATCACATCACATTTAGCAAATGTTTTTCTGCCATTCTTTCATCCTATTCCATTAATGGGCAAGAACTTACTCGTAAATCTGAAGCTTTGGACTTAGGGGTAATTTTGGACTCTAAGTTCTTATTCATTCAGCATATAAACTATATTATGCCTAAGGCGTATGCGATGTTTGGGATTGTTAGGCGCAATTCTAGCTAGTTTAAAGACCTGTTCACAAGATTATCTCTATATTCGGCCTTTGTGCGGTCAATATTAGAGTATGCTTCTTATATCTGGAGCCCATCCGCAATTGTGCATACAAACAGGATTAAAAGGCTGCAAAAACAGTTTTTAAAGTTTAATTTACATTGCCTTAACTTTGCTGACCCCTTACCGACATACAGAGCTAGGTGTCGACTACTACATTTGTCATCTCTGGAAAATAGGAGAATGATTTCAGCACTGCTTTTTCTAAACAACTTAATTGTAGGAATAATTGATTGCCCTTCCCTTCTTGCTCGCGTTAATTTTAATGTGCCGAGCAGATCTTTGCGATACCATTTGCCGTTTTCTGTGGGGACTCATAGAACTGCTTATGCAAGTAACGAGCCTATGATCAGATCACTAAAGCTTTATAATAGTCTACCAACTGAAATGCATTTTGAATTTTCTGCCAATAGTGCTCAAGTTAAAAATAAGCTTAAAGAATTCTTCCTTTAAAACTCATTAATTCCACATCTTCTTTAAGCTTCATATTTTCTGTTTAGTTAATTAGTTATTTAAGATAATATTTTGTAAATTATAATAACCTGAAAGCTATCAGCATTGGTTAAATAAATAAATAAATAATTTTGTTTATAAAAATGCAAAAATTTATCATTTTTTGTGCCTTTTTCTAGTTATTATTCATTACTTTTTATTACAAGATATGATTACACTTGCCATGGGCCTTGTATACTGACAAAAACGTTTCTAAGTACGTGCAGGTACATGTACATAATGAATAATGTATGTGGCACAAAATAGAGACTGTTTAATTATATCCGCCAACTAATTGGAAAGTTGTCAATCAACGACTACATATACATAAACATTAATTTTGCAAATTTAAGTTAGGTATCTGTGAATGTTTGCTTTGCTTTTTGTATAATAAATATTCTGTTTTTGCCTGCATCCAAAGCACTTGTTTGCATATTAAGCAAATGGGAGAGAGTTACTCAAACATGGCCATTGATGAGGTTGGTACAACTTCCAGTAGTAGCTGAAAAAACAGCGTCACCTTATCTATAATAACGTTTTAAAAAAAGGAACATTAACAAAATGGTATGTAATTTTATGTGTAATTCTTATATTTACTTACTCATAAAGCGCGGGGTCATTCCTAGTTTAACGAAAGGTACGTAAAATATTAGACCCGCGAAGATGAAGAGCAACGCATATAAATATTCTATGCGAGGAGTCTGGAAAATTGGCGCTGCAACAAGGTAGACAGATATAATCAAGACCACAACAGGAATGACAATGGGCACTTTGTATGGCCGTGGATGATTAGGTTTGGTGTAACGCATCACTATAAGTGCCAACATAGCGCCGCCATAAAATATCCATGCTGTGAAGCTGAAGAAGTCAATCAGCGAATCAATCGTGCCATGCAGCACCATGGCTGACGCAATTAGCGACTGTTAAAATAAAATGAATAATAAGCGGAGACCGTTTGAGTTCGATAGCCATTCTTTGAAATGTTGTAGATTAATGAAACATAAATATTACCACAGACAATATAAACACTAAGACGAGTAACGCCATACAACAAAATGCTGAAATGTAGCTTGCTTTTTTGAAAATTGGAACGAACACAAAATCAGTATCTCGGTACACGATATGCATTCATATGTCAACACAGATTTGGGATAGGCCATGATCAGCGCTAGAAAACTAAGAAAATTTATTTCTTCACCAGCTAAAACCAGAGCAGTGAACAACAACACATATACACATATTTTGTTGTACTTATGCATGCATAATTCACAGATACAAACATAGGTGCGTGCACACCTTTGGCTGAGACAAGAACTTCTCTCAAGCATACACTGTCTAAAAACAAAAGTGAAATCAATCTATGTGTGCTATTTTCCTAACATAGTTATTGCACAAGATGCGCTTTGTGAAACAAATATTTTATTCTTAAATTTTCCTGTAAAATTTATCGTTAGTATCTAGGGTAATGGTTCATTTAAATAAAGCATGCATTTCATGGATAAAGCAAAAGTACTTGCGTCGATCGTAAGTTCAAAACTTTTTCGCTCAATGAAACGAAGCGACGCAAAGCATCATTGACCAGCTTTGCTGAAGGCAGACTGGCCACTAACTTAGTTGCTCGTGTCAGCATCAGAAAGCCGCGATTTTGGTATTCGTTCGTCTGATCGAACAGCCGTCGGCAGGCATGTCGTGTGAAGCCTCAAAGGCCAGATGAAAGGCATGGCTAGAAATTTTGCGTCGCATTCAAATGTATGGGCGTTACTCATCTTAGTGTTTATATTGTCTTTGATATAACTATGATTTTTGAACTTACGTGGAATATAAGACCAGGAGCAGGAGTTAAGCGTCGTACATGTACGTATGATAAAATGTCTAGTAGATGTCCCTCTCGACTGGCTGCAAAGCAAAGACTGCAGTAAAAAAATAGGTATATAAATAAAAAACAAACAAAGAGCGAGAGACGTGTAGTTAAGTTAAATATGTAACCTACCGTCCTGCGGCAAAAAGTGTACCATTAGCACTACCAAACGTGCTAACAGTGACACTAAGTGGCATTAGCCAGGCAAGGGCGCCTAAAATACGGTTGCCAAAGGTGACAGCGACCGCCTCAGATTCGATCATTTCTTGCGCTGACATGGCTGCTAGGTAGGATATGTTGATCAGCGCGTAACACAAAGTAACCAGTGGTATGCCAATCATGATAGATCGCGGCAAGTTTTTGCTTGGATTCTTTATCTCCTCGGTGACATAGTTGAGGTTGTTCCAACCATCGTATGCCCAAAGGCCAGTGTAAAATGCGGTTGCGATTGCGCCAATATTTGGCATTGGCCCATCAAATGCATGTGACAAATGCTGGGTGTTGCCCTGTAGTAACTTCCATGCACCACCGCATATTACAATGACAACGGCAACTAATTTAGCCGCTGTAAATACGTTCTGCACGGCCATTCCCAAATTGACGCTGTAGCAATTCACGAACAATATCATCACTGACAACGCAAAATTAAGGAATTAGGTTTCTTTTAAATTGTAAATTGAACTTATTGTACAACACTTACCAATTGCCACCAGTGCAACCATCTTTACAACCCCTCTAGGCGGATCACATTCTGTCACAAAAGCCTCAACAGCATATTGTGCGAATGATAAGCATATTATTGCCATTTGAGATGGCTTCAACACCAATGTCGATACCCATGAGAATAAAAAAGCCGGTGCCGGTCCATAGGCGTCCATAAAGTAGGCCCATTCCGCACCAGATGAGGTATTCATTGTGCCAAGTTCGGCATATGCCAGAGCTCCTAAACCGTGCGAAACAAAAAGTATTTAATTGATCTCTATATGTAAAACACAAGTTGCAAAGTTGAAGAAAAGTATAATGTGTGATTGGTTTTTTATGCGATGTGACCATATATAAAATATAACACAAAAAAATTTTCACAGTATGTGTTCTTAAAAAGTAAAGGCGTATATATTTTCTGTTACAGCATCAATACTCAAGTAGACATGTAGGAGCTAGATATTCGGGATTGGGTTACCCAAAGCAAGTTTAATTTTATTTCTTTCGACTAGAGTCATTTTGTTGTATTAGACACTTATCTTTAAATTGGAACGGTTTTTTATACCCCTCTAAAAGGTATTATAAAATTGTCATGAAATGTGTAACGTATAAAAGAAGACATCTCACACCACATTGAGTAGCGTTGTCCGCCTATCTGTTGACGGACTGAATCCTTGTCTTTGGAACAATCGGTCTAAATGTAGGATCTTGAATGGAAAACTTATTTTTTTATATTGACCAAAACTCCGACATTTATTCGTCTTACTATGCTTCTTACATATATGCAAAATCCTATCAACAGCGGACCATATGTACAAAACCGCAAGCAATGGTCTACAAGAGTATTAAAATTATGGCGTGCTGAGGATATCCTACTTTTTCGATTATATCTCTAATACTATAATTTACCAGCAACCAATAGATATTTATTTCTAGCCCTCAAATATTTTTTATTAAAAATATATTCACAAATATATCATTAATAAATATTTGTTTGGCTGGCTCGAGGTGGGTGCGCGGCGACTAGGAGGACCTACAGCTAACATTTCAAGCTCTTATAGGTTCTGAGATCCTTGCGTTCATACATACGGAAATGATCAAGAATATATACTTTTTGGGGTCGGAGATGCTTCCTTATGCCTGTTATATACATTTGCACAAATATATAATACCTTTTTTACCCATTTTTAATGGGTTCAGGGTATATTTAAAACATAACATATTTAAAACACACATTGTTTTACACGTCTGCGCTCCTTGACGTGGAGGTTGAAACTATTTGGCAGTTCAATAGGTGTCTCTATAAGTAAGCGCAGTTTTTGGTGTCCGTTTTGTAGTTTAGGCGCTTATTGTTTGGTGTGTTTATTATGTGTGGCATTTCTAATGTATATCTTTTGTTGTAGTGTTGTTCTTGCTGTAGAATTGTTGTCGCATCGAAATTTCATTAGTGCTGTTTTTTGTATATTATTTTGATGTCTTAATTTAAAGTCCGATTTGAGTTGAGTTATTCTTGATATTAGTTTGGATTTTGTTGTGCCGATGTACACGCTATTGCAACTAATGTTGTCATGACGTTACTTTTGTCTAACATTGGTATTTTCGCCATTGTATTGTTAAAGAAGTTTTTTAACGTATTTGTAGGCTTTTGGGCTCATTGTTTTTCATTTTTGTTGTAGCAGTCTGAGTTCGTGAGGCGTTTTGATATTCGTGGTACATACATACGTTAGAGATTTGTATATTTTGGTAGATTCGGTTAGCTTTTGTGTTCGTATTTGTTTTTTTTTGAATAATATTCTATTCACATTCTGTTGGAAGTTTTTTAATTTCGTGTTCAATTTCTTTGTGGTCTGTTGTGTCCGATATGTTTGTCATTCTTCTCATACAGCTTAGTGCTGAATTTATTGTCATACTTCTTGGGTGGTTAGAGTTAAGTTAAGTATTCGTCCAGAGGCTATGGGATTCTGATACCACTTAATTTTGAGTGAGTTGTCCACTCTTTTTACTAATGCGTCTAAAAATGGTTGCTTCCCTTCTTGTTCTAGTTCAACTGTGAATTTTATGTGCTTGTGAAACGAGTTCAATTCTTTTAGGATGTTTTGTTTCTGGTTTGTCCGTTACGGCAAAAAGGTCATCCACATATTTTGTCAACAGTTTTGGGTTTGTTGTCAATTTATCCGTAATGTTGTCCAACAGGTCCTCCATTATTATGTCAGCGATTACTGGAGAGGTCGGTGATCCCGTTGGCATTCCTTTCAATTTTATATATATTCTGTCTTCATATTTAAAATACCTGTTTTCTTGAATACAGAATTTAACTATATCTATTAATGATGGTTTAGGTATAGTTGTGTGTTCTTCTAATTAGGTCCATTTTCGTCTTATTGTGTCCAGTACCAATTGGTATGATGGGTAACTGGGATACTACGTCAAAAGATACTAATATTTCGTCTTCCCTGATAGTGGCGTTGTTTACTCTGTCTTTGAACTCCAACGAATTCTTAATTTTGTATTTAGAGTCCATTTTTAAGTTTCTTAATCATTTTATAATATATTTGCATAGTTCATATGATGGGGAACTGACAGAGAAGCATATTGGTCTCAGAGGCGTTCCTTCCTTGTGAATTTTCGGTAGGCCATATATCCTCGGAGATACCGGTTTGGTAGTAGTCATCTTAATTCTTTCATCCTTTGAAAAAAGTCTCCCCTTAAATAATTGTGATACGAGGCTATTATTCTTGGTCTGTTATCTTGATGTCGGATCGTGTCTAACTGTTCCTTACGCGCATAAGTCGTCTAAAATATTTGTCATTATAGTTTTGTAATCGTCGACATGAATTTGTCCACTCTCCGTCCGCAATATATTTTAAGATCAGATCAAGATCTTATTAATCAGGAGAGCGAATTTCGGCCTTTTCGCAAGAAACGTTTCTATGTTTGAAAGGAACGCTGTCTTCGTTTTGTTTACAAGCTATTCTCTTTAGGTGTTGTTGTCCGCTAAGTCAAGGTTTCCTTTATTTCGTAGCTTGTCGTGTTTCGTTTCTTTCCTTTTCATTAGTGCTGTTATTATTTTGTTTTCTAAGTTCTTCTCGCTCTCAAAACACGCTTTGGAGTCATCTGTGGTCTTCAGTTGTTTTATGTTTGTTTTTGCTGTATCAATATGTTTGGCTTGTTTTTGTAAAAAGTTGTGTTTGTGTTTTATAAGTAAGCTTAATATCTTGGTATGGAGAAAATGTGTGTGTCTAGTTAATGCCTTAGTTATGTCAGGGTGGATTTTGTTGCCAGTAGTCAGTATAGGCATCTTTTGGTCAATAACAATAAAATAATAAAAGAAATGTTAAGCTATATTTAAGTTTGCCTAATTTTATCAATGTAATTTGAAATTTGTGAATTGTTTTTCTGGAGTATTTTTACTTAGTTCTTATTTTTGCATAACTTATGTTCGTTGTCATGCTTACGGTGTGCGTTCCGTTGTTATTTAAATTATTCAAAATTATAAATTTATTATAAATTATAAAAAAATCTTGACTATAAATGACTTCCTACAGAATGTAAATAGAACATTATTCAAAAGACAACAAATCAGAACACAAAAGCCAACAGAATATACCAAAATATACAAATCTCCAACGTATGTACCACGAATATCAGAATGCCGCACGCACTCACTGCTACAACAAACAAAAAATAAAAGTAGCCCACAAGTGTACAAATACGTTACAAAAATTCTTTAACAAATCAAAGGCGAAAATACTAATGATGGACAAAAGTAACGTCATTTACAAAATACCATGTTGCGGGGATACCAACAATAGTTGCAATAGCGTGTACATCGGCACAACAAAATTCAAACTAAAAACAAGAATAATTCAACACAAATCGGACTTCAAATTAAGACATCAAATAATATACAAAAAATTGGCTCTAATAAAATTTCGATGCGACAGCAATTATACAAAAGAACAACACTACAACAAAAGACATATATTCGAAATGATACACATAAAAAACATAATAAACAACAAGCGAATAAACTACAAAACGGACACCGAAAACTGCGCTCACTTGTATAGACATCTATTGAACTGCCAAATAGTTTCAACCTCCAAGTCAAGAGCGCAGACGTGTAAAACAATGTATGTTTTAAATTCTTTGAGTAATTGTTTAATCTTAATTTAATTTATCTTAATGTTAATTGTTTTTTATGCCCTGAAGACGGTTACCGACAGTCTATGGACGAACCTTTCAAAAGCCACTAAAAATGCATTAGTCAGATACTAAGATAATGTGACTTATACGAGCGTTAATAAGCCAAAGGCGCTCACGAAGAAGACTCACGAGTGCTCTTGAGCCAAATGACAATTCTTGAAATGCGGGTATCTAATAAAGCTTCTAGCGAATTGCGAGCTTTTATTCAGAAGTAGCGGAAGCTTGGCATCATACTACATACCTACTTGCAACAATGAAAAAAAGCACCAAGATCCATTATACTCATGTATAAATGGATTGAGACGCTGCAGGCTATGCGGTTGTCCTTTCGAACTCTATCTATGCCATCTTTGAATTCAACTCGTTGGATTACTTCAACTATTTTCTCGAAAGCTCCTTTCCTGTGAGCGGGAGGGATACTT